CTTGTTTCTGTCACCAAGAATAAACAAGATAGGTGTCCTTGAAGTTGTTCCTGGGATTAAACACCCCAGACAGCTCCTTCCCTTTCTCCTCCCCTGCGCCACCTTTTAAACCAGACCTTGGCCTAGCCACACTCTCTGTACCATTAAACAGATCCACAAAGCTCCTGGGAACCCTAATTGACATACCATGAATTGTTGAGGGGTGCTGGAGGGCTAAAGTGTGCCTCCCTTCGGAGGTGTTAAATGATGGTAGAAATGGACCCCATTCCAGATTCCTGGTGAAAGGCTCTGAGCTTTTTCTCAGTTACTTCTACTTTTTCTTTTTTTTTAGATTTTTTTATTGTCTTGTTTGTATGTACTGTCAAATCACATCTGACTGGTACAGGAAGAAATTGTTCCACCTTTTCCAGCAGAGCATCTGGTGGATTTGAACCATGCACCTCTGGGATTGCAGAGCAGCTTCTTGCCACTAGGCCACCAGAGCTCGCTGGAAAATATCTTTCCAATGGTTTTCTACAGCTGTGAAAGCCTTTCTTCCCAGGCACAATTGTTATTGCAATGAGGTTGCATTGGCTTTATCATTTCCCAGGGAATTAGACCAGCTGTTTTCTCGTGCCATTAAGTGATTAAATGCCTCTCAGAATGGGAGGGTCAGCAAAAATACCCCCAGGACATTTTAGAGGTTCAGCCTGGAGGTCATTGTGTATCTCAGTCAGCCCTGAAGCCTTCAGCCCCTCCCCCAGGCATTAGCTGACTGGTCAGTTTTAACTTCTTAACAGTAAAACACAGAAAGGAACTCCTTGGACAATGGAAAAAAAAATATATAGATATAGATATAGTTGTTATGTGCTGTCAAGTCGCTTGCGACTCATAGCGACCCTTTGTACAACAGCCCTAAACTCCGCTCTGTCCTGTGCCAATCGCACTGTCTCTGACACTCTCATCCCGATTACCCCAGTCACTGAATCAATCCACCTCATAGAGGGTCTTCCCCTTCTGTGCTATCTCTCCACCCTCCCAATCATGATGTCCTTCTCCAAGGACCTGTCTCTCCTCATAACATGTCCAAAGGATGTCAGACGAAGCCTCAGAATCCTTGCCTCCAAGGAGCAGCCCAGTTTGATCCTTTCAAGCTCAAAGGCATCAATTCTCCTATCCTCCTTAGTCCTATCCTCCTTTGTCCAACTCTCTGATGCATAACAAGTGATAGCAAAGACCATGGCCTGTGTCAGGCACACCTTAGTCTCCAGAGAGGCACCATATTATAGTAAATCATCAAGTCAACCATGAACCAAGGATTATTCCAGGGCACAGAGCAGCTGGTGGATTCAAACCTGATGCCTTTTCCTTGGGAGCTCCTCTCTTTATCATTAAACAACAGCAGAGCTCACTGTGTAATAGTGTAGTCATGTCGGAAGACCTTAACACATACTAGACACTAAAACACAGTGATTTCCACAGTGGAGTTGATATTAAATTTCTTTTTTAATTCAAATGTGTAGGTGTAAATAATTGAAAGTAAAGATTCAATGCACTACCCTCAGGAAAGACCCTCCATTGTGTCCTCAGAGACTGTAAATGACGCTGGAGGAGATGGTCATCTTCCTCTTGTGGACTTGAACCCTGTGCTTTAGGCTTGACAGCACAGTTTCGTAACCACTTTTCCCAACAGAGCTACCCTTGCTGGGCAATAAATGTTAATTCACATATCTTAGTAGGCGTTAGCAAGTTTGGTAACAGTCAGCTGAGACGCGTGCACCCCTCTCAGAGAAGCATTTCTGGGTTAAAATCCTGCCTTTAGGAACGCTTGCCTGGGATATTGTCCTCAGCTCCAGACACTCCCAGCCACGTTGCCTCTTCCCTTCCTGACAACCTATTTGATGTTCTTTCCTGCCCCCATCCCCATTCCATGGCCATGTTTTATTGTCTTCTAAAATTATTTTCTTTCTTTCTTTTAATTCAACAATTCTAGATCTCTTATCTTTTTAAAAAAATTTTATTTTATTTTAATGGATATTTACAGAGATTTTGGATTTTCATTCATTCATTAGTGCACTTTTTCTTTACCCCCCCTTGCCTCCAGTTCGCTCCTCTCTTTGAAAAGCAAAAGATAAACTTCTTCATTGGTATACAGTCCCACCTGCCCCCAGCCCTGCCCCGCACCCTCACCCCAAATGCATTCCACTATGCAACCTTAATTTTGGATACCTGTGATAATCATTATATGGTATCATATATCACTTTTACACTCTTCTCTCCCTCATTTGTTTCAATTCAGTATACCTAAATCTATCCAGTTTTTCTCAGTCTTACCCCAACCCTGATGTCAGTCTCTTTCTACAACAGTGGCACCATGCAGTATTTGTCC